AAGTATACCGCAGACATGGTTCCAACTGTGTGATGGATACAAAAACAGTATTACGCTCGCTGATAAACTCGCCGAACACGCCAGCAACACTCTAACCGATCGCGAAATAGATGATTTCTGCAACTACGGTACCTTAGGATCACGTTTGGAATCGTTCAAAGGATGGCCACATCTGAAACCCTCACCCATGGAACTAGCTGGAGATGGATTTTTTCATTTTGGCGCACATGATTGTGTTCAGTGTTATTACTGCAACTGTGAACTTAAAGATTTTGAGCCTCTCTCTGACCCCCGTTGGGATCATTTATGTAAGACTAGCAACTGTCCTGCCAGCAATGGTCCTGATAATTTATATTTTCATTTGTAAATACCATAAAATAAAATGTCATGAATAAATAAAAGAGGGTGGGGAAAAATAAACCAAAGAAAGGGGAACAACCGGTTCAAACCGGCTCCAAACCGGTTCGACTGAAAACCGGACCGAAACCGAGCCGAACCGGACCGAAACCGAGTTGACCGTAAACTAGCGCTATATCTTCTGCTATGTAAGGATAAGCTGCATGCCGGGTTGAAAGGCCGTGGTAAAAGTTTTCGCGTAGCGTTCTGCTGCCACCTCCTGGGAAAGTCTTCCCCTTCCACCTACGCGTCGATAGCGGTACCCGGTGCATTCTTGTTATAGCGCTAAGAAACCAGAAGCACGACCTCCATGGCGAGACGATTTGACCACATACCAGAGGAAAAGCGCTTTACATACCGTGTTATTCACATTTAAAGCCTCCTCCAAAATTGAAGCCTCCTCTACCATATAAGCCTCCCACCATTATAGTTCGAAAATTTAGTAGCCTCCTCCGTATTAGAAGCCTCTCTCCATAAACACTATAATTATAACAATGAAGCTAGTATAGAACCTCTGCTGTATAAGCCTCCTCTAGGGAGCTTCGAAAATTTAAAAGCCGAGGGCTTCTAATTCGAAAAACACGGTAATATAAGTAGTTTATGAGAGTCAAAACGAAATTTATGAGCATCAAACAGCATCCGTTAAAACTTTCAGAATTGTAGAACGAGATACACAAGATATACACAAACAACTAGTATGCAACAAAATTCGGTATAACCGACACTTCAGGTAGGCTATTTAATGTCCACAACGATGTCCTACGGCAGTGAATTTCTTAGGATTTTCGTTTCGATCCACCGAGCGCCGTTAACAGCCGGTCATCCGCTTGCGCGCGCTTTTCCTCTTCGGGGCCGCATGTATTGTACAGCCTGAATATTGTGGTTCAAAATGTGCTGCCACAGACATGATAGCCAAATCTGATGAAGACACCGAGGACATTCTTCCTTGATAACAGCAACTCCGCATGTAAACTCGGTCGTGATACTTTCGCTATCTTTCCAAGCGCTAACGTTACGTGACGTGAGTTGCACAGTGTTCGAGTTCATCACGAGTGGACGTGCTAAAGAAGGCAAAGTCAAGCGAAAGGCCAAGTCCCATTCCAGCCGCACTGAACTGCAGCAGTTTCCCGTTGGTCGTATCCATCGTATGTTGTGCAAGGGCAAATGCGACGAACGCATCGATGCTGATGCTCCCGTTTACCTGTCCGCTGTCCTGGAGCATCTGGCTGCCGAAGTCCTCGATTGGCGGACAATGCCGCACGTGACAACTGGAAGACTCGCATCATTCCGCGTCCTCTCCGACTTGACATCCGCAGGAACGAAGAGTTGAACAATTTGCTGGCCAGGGAGGTCCTTGCCCAATGACGCTCCAACGGTTTTGCCGAAGAAGGCTGCTGGTGGCCCACAGGAGACGCAGGCAAAACAGCTGGAGGCAAGGCCAAGGAGCCAGTCGCCGGAGGATTCTCTCAGCAGGCTTGAATTTCATAACCGGAAGTTGTTGGTCCACCGATGGTTTTGTTTTCCGTCGAATGAATCGTTGGCTTTGTCGATGTACATTGTTGTAAAAACGAATATGAGTGTAGTACGGTACTGTTATTCTTTGTGTGAGTTTCGGGGTTACGTCATGCGGCGTCAATAGTAACAGTTTTCAGTTGATGGAGCGGTTTCAAGTTGGGATGAGAAAATAAAATTCGCGGAATGTACACTTCACATTTATGTCATAGAATTGATGACCTTTTTCACGTGTTGAGACTTTTCGCGTGTTGGCAGCGGCGCTTCATTTTTTTTCCATTTGCTTCCTCTAGCACAAAGCGATCCGAATGTGGGTTTCATTAATATTTACATTTCCCACTGCCTTCACACGGAAGCGCTTGCACGTCGTCGGCTCTTTATTCTCACCCATGAAGGCACTCATCACACCGACTTATGCCATTCCGTTTCCACACTGGAGCGCGCTGCCGGATTCGTTGCTGATTGTGTTGACCTTTAACAGCGGTTCAGCGGCACAGCTAAAGGTACTCATCGACAAAAGCGGGTGTTGCATACCGTGTCCATGCGTGAACGCAAGAAGAAGATTGAAATCGGTGTGAACGATCAAATGGTCCAGGAGGAAGAAGTGCAGATTCAAGGCACCGATATCATTTCCGTCGGCTGTGGATCAGTCGAGTATTGCGGCGTCGGCGCGCTCCTTTTTCGGCTACATAATCGGGCTGATTATCTGCGGAGAATTGATTGCGTTTGAGCGATTGCAAGCATTTCAGCGCGAACTGCAAGCGACTGGACGGTGTGAATTTGAAGCAGTGGTGCGGTCGACCGCGGAGTCCTTGCTGACTGAACCGCTTCCCTCAGCTGCGGCTTTATCCCGTCATCCAAGAAACTGGGCACCATCGCCCAAAATAATTAAGGTCACCGGTAGATTGATGCCGTCAGTTTCGGGGCAACAAGAAGCAGCCAAATGCAGATGTTTCTGCAGCAAAACGATGTAAAGTTTACCGGTTCTTTGCGGAGTTTTCATCCAAATGGGATTATCCTGTACGCCGACACTCCAACGGAAAAGGAAGCATTAGTGTAAGCTCTTCGCGATGGCCGTATGCTTTGGGCAGTCAATGATGGTAACGACAATGTAGCTATTGCTGTAATCTCGAGTTTCTGCTTTGCTATCTTTTTCGATGTTGGAAGTGTTGGATGCAGGAAGCGATCAGTCAAGGACTTAAGGGGATTCATCAGACGGTCAGCGACAACCTTTCGTGTGGAACGAACATCTCGTCGTATTATCCTCAGCGCAGACGCACAATGATTGGCGGGAAAATATATGGACGCACAGTGAAATGGTGCCCGGTACCAGTTGGAATGAATCTCGCGTAAAAAGTAAGGGCGATTTCTCCGCAGTCAGATCAAGCGGGAAGATTGAAGGGGCTGACGGGTCGTTCGGTGATGCTCTGGTGGAACCGAATAGTTCATCCGTTCCCGGCACCTAAACGGCAGCTTCCGGTGACAGTGACTGGGTCAGATTTGATCTGCAGATTCGCCGTCATCATTAACAAAGCAGGCGGTGATGTGCTTCCAGATTTATCTTCCGGATAATGGGAAATCGCCGGCAATCAGAAGCGTGCACGGATCGTTCACTGGACGGCCCTATAATGAGCATTCCGTACAGGTATTCAAACCTGAAGAAGAGTTCGAGTGTGTATGAGCCCAGTGACGGCTACAGTGTTACAATCCGACCATTCCCCAGACAGCCTTGGAATCCTCCGCGATCCATAGTGGTACTGGTGATCACTTTCTCATCTATACTTTCGATGTAGAACGGCACGCTGACGACAGTACGCTTGGATAGCTTCACAATGAACCACCATCGTCCACCCGATGTCCGTTAGGCGCGGGCACAGGAGCGTTTCCTCCTGACACGACAAGGGTTGTGACGAAAATGCCAACGTTCAACACATCCTGTGTTGAACTGACCGATGGCTAGATTATGGTGCCGAAGAGAATTGCCTTTGATCGAATGTACAACGCTTCGGGGTCAGACCGTTGAGCAGCCGACAAAGTCATAAAAGCTGCAACGCGATGATTTCTGCAAGTTTACAAGCATATCAGCAATTTCAAAATTACTGTATATCTTGTTTGCAAAATTTTTCCAGGCTACAGTTATCAGTTTGGTTAAAACATACACAGCAGAAAGCTACAGTACAAAACAAAAACGATCTGAAGTCAAGAAAACTAAGAATCACTGCTCGTATTAATTTTAAAGATTGAATATCCATCAAAAATAAATCTGGCCTTGAATTTCATTGTTGGCACACTCACCGATTGTTTTCGCGGGTCTTGCAGCTGCATCGCATCGCTCCTCAGTGAAATCCAAATCATCTACAGGGACGACGCAGCGGTGTCACCATGCGCATGTTCCCACTGTCGTCGCGAATCGATGGCGCCGTCACTGCCGTCACTCAGATCTTCTCTTGCGTGACGACATCTTCGCCTCAGCATCATCGTCCTCCAACTTCCGACTCATGGCTAATTCGCGGCAGAGTTCCAGCACTTCTTGCACCTACTCAGCCAATGAAGACAACCCTTGAATGGCCAGAACGTTTCCAGCATCAGCGGCGTACCACCCAGGAACCCTGCGTCGCGAGAGAAGTGCTCCTGATATCGAACTGGGTGTTCTGCGAGAACGTGACGACTCCCAGCGAATGCGTAATCGGCATCTGCCACGTTGTGTGCTTGGACGGCGACGTCAGCGATGGCGTCAATGCTCAGGCTACATGCTCAGATGGCCCTGACGGGCGGACGACAAAACCGCAGAAATACCGTGATACCTGTGCCCGATGCCTCGATCGTATCTCAAAAACTACATACGGTTTATTACAGTTAGCCCCATTTGCAACCACTCTTGGGCTATGCAGATTAGGTGTTAATGCTGTTGAGCAGTTTACCTGTTAGTTTTAAACCGAGGAAAGGCTGGTTTTATTATCAAATTTTTTGGAAAAAGTAAGCAATTTCTGCATTTGCGTTGCTGCTACTCAGGTTGCTACTGCCTAATGAAAAACTACAATTACAGTCCATAGCCAATAAGTTTCGACAGTTGTCAACTTACCACCGCTTACCTATAGTATGTATATGCGAAGAACGGGATGGGGAAACAAAAAACCCGAGGAGCAGTATGTGGAAGACAACAGAGGATTCACTCAATACTGTATTCAACAGGTTGGTACAATGTACGTGTACATACGCTATTGTACGTGTACAATACAAACACAGTATGTCGCAATACTGCATGCAGACCGGCCGGCATAATTATTATAAACACGGCAAACCACGCCTCTATCTGCGCATTCATCGAATGGCATTCCGTACATTTTATTAGACCGGCCGTTTTAAATCACAGCGCTATTGCAGCCACCCAGGCCGGCGTTTGCACAGTTTATTTTTTGTGTTTAAATTAGATTATTAGTTGCTACCGCTCTTGCCGTGATTGATCGCCAAATGGCCCAAATCACTGAAATCAGCAGTTTAACGAGTGTTTGAACAGTTAACGAATGCTGAATATATATTGCCAGAGCACCCACAACGATGTCTTCGTCCGAGAATTTCCAACCTCTTCGCCGTCCCCCTTACACCCTTACTTCCGCATCCTATCCTCCCGTATTCTCCCATCCTCCACCGCCACCCACCCGCGAGTATTCTTTACCCTCCGCTGCTGCCCCTGGCACTCGCCCCTCGATGATCAGCGCCGCCAGCACCCCGCTGCGACCGGGCGAGAATCGGCGCGGAGTGCGTTCCCCAACAGTCAACCGCAATTACAACCAGCCCCGCGGCCGTCTGACGTTCAACGCGGAGAGTGTGGAGAATGGGACGGACGAGCAGCGGAAAACGGCACAGGAGACCCCCGCCAGTGAGGCAGGGGCGGGGAGACTGCGCGAGACGCTGCGCAGAAATCAGAAGTGGAAAGCTCCGAGCGAGTGTTGGCCACGTTTCGCAGGCTGGATGGGGCGCCCGTTGGCGAGGCGAAAAGCGGCGACGAGAATCTGCGAGGGGGAAATGGTGAGGAGCTCTCAGAAACTGTTTGCAGCGTTCTTTGCCTATTTTGATTTTTGATTGGGTTTTGTCATTTTATTCTCTACGCAGTGCAATTTCCGTCCCTTTTGAAGCTCTTAATTTTATTTTATAGTGCTAATTATTTTTTGCGACTATTTTAATTTAAAGTGGATATTTAATGATTAAGTTTTTTATTTTTACGAAATTTTGCAAGGCAGTCGCTGTTTGTAGTCGATTCCACTACGGAGAAACGAAGACTGGATTCCAGCGGCGAAATGAGCCTTAATTTCTCCTTATCGCCTGGAAAAACCACGGGTTTAATTAAGTTGGAGAAGGAGATCACTCGTGTGACTTTCGAGCGCGCTTTATTGAAGGAAGAAGTCAGCTTGGAACGATCGCGGACGGAGGAGAAACTGCGCATGCACAAGCAAGACGAAGACGTGAGTTACATTATCTCCTTTTGCATGATTTATGTTATTACGATTTTGTTATTTATCAATAATTATTTTTTGTTGTGTTTATAGGCTTATTTTAAATTATTTTCCTTGAAAAAATTTAATTCTGATAAGTGTTTTGATTTGATGTTTTGTTTTTGTTTTGATTCTTTTGTTTTTGTAAATGTTTTGATTTTTTCGATCATTTTGTAAGACGCTTTTTTCCGGATTAAATAGGTATGTGGAACTGTGACAACGTTGTGAATTTTGGCGATAAATTAGTTCTTTTTTTCTGCACAGAAAATCAGTGTTGTGGTTCATGCAGCAAAATTGAAATGTGCGGTAATTGTCGGAAAATTGAAAATATGTATTTAGGAAAATAATTCAGGAATTTAATTATATCTAAACGTAGGTATATTGTAAAGCGATTAGCGAGTAAACTGGACTTTGAATACTGCGATTTTTTTGCATATTTAAGCGATCTATTACGAGTATTAACTCCTTTTTTCTTGGCAGGCTGCCATGGCCAAAGCCGGGGAAATGTGGTCGCAGGTGGAGAAGATTCTGCAGGAGAACGACCGGCTGCGCGAGAAGATGGACAAGGCGGAAACGGAGGGAATCGCCATGCGGAAGCAGTACGAAGAGCAGATTGCCCACATCAAAATGGAGCATATGACGCGCACGCAGCAGCTCGACCGGGATCTGCGGGAAGCGCGCAGCGAGAACCTGCTGCTCAACGAGCGCTTCAAGACGTAAGTGGACTTTTGTATCCGTCTTGATTTCATGAATGCTCCGCTGACTTGCTCAGTTTCCGCTCACTCGGCTCTTGGATACTTTCGTTTTTAATTACTGATTATCAGAAGTATTTGCCATGTTAGAATTTTTGCATAATTTGTTTTATTTAAAACGTAGTGCAATGGCAGTTTTAGTGAATTAGACGGAAATGGTGTATTTGTTTGGTTTCTGAACAGTCTTTTGTGCTTCACTGAACTACCAATAAATTAAAGGTTAAATCATTTTCTGAATTTACAGTTTACAACGCAGCAATTAGAATAGATACGAGTAATTTAATAGGTGGCTATACCACTTCTTTTTGCATTCAGTGTCACGCAACCATCGATAATAAGCAAATATGAAAAATAACTGACACGCAATATATTGTTTTAAGGTACGCGATACTTTTAAACGGATCAAAAAAACCATCGACCAGTCGTCGAGCCGCCGCGGTGATCCGTCCTTCATGGCGAAACTACGCGATCTGGAAGAGCGGGCCACACGCAGCCAGACCCTGGCCGATAACTTCGAGCAGATGTACAACCGGACATTCTCATCGGAATCCCAATTAAAGACCAGCTTGGAGGACCTCCAGCGCCGCTATGAAGCGGAGACGGTGCGGGCGCACGAACAGCTGCAGAAGTTGACAGAGGAGAACGAGGAACTGCGGGCGGTCAAGGAGGAGCTGGAGGAGCGGCTGGGCGAGTGGACGCTGCGGATGCTGCGCGGGGAATACGATCCCACGCGGACGGACGTCGTGGTGGTCGGGGAGAGTCCGTTGGAAGCGGCGCAGAAGGAGTTCTTGGCGGAGGCGGGGAAGGTGTTGGAGGAGAACAAACTGCTGCACGAGAAACTCAACCAGGTGAAGATGGGCGGCGGATACAGCGGGGATGTAACGGTGAATGCCGAAGAGTTCCTGCGCGGTCCCGGGGAACAGCTGGAAGGTAAGTGTAACAAACGCCAAAAGGTCGTTTTTATGGTTTTTCTTTTAGCTCTTTTTGGGAGTCATTAAACAGGTTTTCTCTTCAAAAATCCGCTATTTTCTGATTATTATTCTTCGTTACAAAATGAAAGCAACGATAAATTTTTTCGCCATGTTAGGGTAGTTGCGTTGCTTTTTTTCCCAACGATACGGCGAAGAATACGGAGTAGGGTTACCATGAGCAATGAAGTATCGTAGTGCAAGGGCTCCAAATGGCCGTAGGAGGCAGCAGGAGTTGGTGATCCAGATAAAGATTTACAAGTTACGAGATATAATTATAAATTTTACTAACAATTTGTAATATGTTTTAAACTATTCTTATGTTTTAGAATAGTGTTTGGTTTTTTATTACTTAATGTAGTCGATACGGACGGTGCAGTTATTAAGGTTGTCGTCGCCCCGTTTTTTTATAAATGCTTGATGCGCTCAGTCCTTTTAGTACCGGGTCAAGTGTGCGTACTCAAATCCAGAATTTTTCAGAATTGAAGAAGCAGTTGGAGAAAGCGGAAAAGCAGCGTAACCAGGACACGAGTTTCTTCAAGAAGTCCATCCAGAGTTTCCGGCACGTGTGCCGCGACCTGCTGGGTTGGAACATCCGCTACGACGGCAACAAGATCGTCTTCCGCGTGGCTGACGCTCCGGCCAACGAGACCATCGTCTTCGAGCGGGAGGACGAGAACAAGCCGTGGGAACTGCGCAGCAACGACTACACCACGGCCAACCAGGTCTTCGTCAACGAGTTCCTCACCAGCCACCAGAGTCCCCCGGGATTCTTCGCCCGCATCATCCTCAAGATCCTCTCCGAGCGCACTCTTATTGTATGGATTCCCCCACTCCGTAAAGGCGTGGCTGTGATTTTCTTCTTATTTGATAGAGCCATTTCTGTAACATTTTGTTGTTTGTTTTTCATAAATTCTTTATCGGTCTGTATGTCGTACTTTGCCGGGAATGGTGAGTTAAACATTCGTGTGAGCGTTTAGAACTAATGCCTGTGTTCTGAAATAAATGCTTCAGTAATGATAGAGGCCAGTTGCAATTATGTAACCGCTGCTCGCCGGATAACGGAGAAACACCGGAAAAGGCTATCAAAAAAATAAGATTCAGCAAAACAAATTACATCAGCTGATCTTCAGGTGAAGTTACCATCACAAAAGAATTAACAAGTTAGTCCTACTCATTTACGTATGCAAACATCATATCATACTGGATAGCACTTACAACAAATATTACAAACCTGTTTGGAAAATTAAATACCCAGTAAGAATGGACCACTGCTACAGATAATTCTCAACAAAGTGGCGCCCGTTCTCCTCCACCAGCTCCCTCGATGTTGTGGCTAAAAATTAGCATAGCCGTGGGGTTACCGATCGCGGTTGCGGCTTTCTTCGTATTGTACGCCTGCTGTAAGAGCCACCACCGCTCATCAAAGGACTTCTACAGGCGGCGCAATGTGCCGACGGATGGTCTGCCAACAACGGGCACAACCACATCGCTTTTGGAATTTCCGGGTGATACTGACTACCGTGACGCGCAAGCCGCAAATAACCTATGACCTCACGCTCAGACGTAGAAGCTAGCCAATAGCTCGTGCACCGTTTATTATATTCGTGCATTCGTGCAAGCCGCGATTTCAACAATGGATATGACCAGATCCAGCAATCTCCTTTTCTTAACTGTGTACCGCTGAATTTCCATGATACTCGTTGAGGGATCTCACATTAGCAACGTGACCGTGTACCTGTTGTAACATGGTTGCTTATACTATATGTGCGAAGCTAATGTGCACAGAGTCCGTAAGCATTTGGAAATAAATATTTTTAAAAAGAATTCTGTTGAAAACATTATAAATTAGCAATTATGCAGCCTATGAGCGCAAAATTAGTTTTGCAAAAAGTCCCGATATCTTGGGGGAGCCAAGTTTTTCACACATCCAGAGCAACAAACTTTAAATCGCCGAACAACAAGCAGACACGTGATGTTTCCGTTACATATGATTATAATTTATAATTATATTTTGTCAACAAAAAATTGAAAGCACAAGTCGATATTAAAAGCGGGTCACATGTATGCTACCATATCCTTTATTTTCGATAGCCGGGGAGTGCTAAATGATTTAAATGGAAACACAATTGCCGTCACTAACAGAAAAATCTGTGTGAGAAAAGGTGATGAGAGATCCGTTCGATCGAGGAGAGTTTGAGCAATCGATTGGAATATAGAGATCTCTTCTTTTATATGCAGAGTTGCTGTATGATTTTTGCAAGTTGTAAATGGCGCCGGCATCCTTCTTCCATAATAACCGGGGATTTCTCTTTAACCATGTCCGAAACCAAGCAAACTCACATTCGCAATGGATACGAGCGACATAGTCACGAAAACGCGGTTGCGAACGCAGCAGCTTCTCCAGTCCGTACTCCATCGATAGCACCTGTAAATTTTGCAGGTTCGTAAAGGTATCCTCTTCTAGTGTACGAATCGTTGATTGCGCCAATATGATAATTCGCAGTTGTAGTGATCTTTTGAAATCGTCTTTGTGAATTTCCAAATTGTCGCACCAACTCAGTTGAAATTCCAGTAAACGAACAAAACGCAGCTGCATCAGCTTATTCGAGGCTCGTGCACTAAGGCAAGTTGACAGTGTGAACTGAACTACTTGGGTGCTAATGCGCACAAAATTGTTGTACGTAATGAGTGGGCCATCATTCAAACGCACTCGTACGGCACGAATTGGCGGTCTTGAAAAAGCAGCTGTCATTTGTGCGATTTCTTCGGGGGTTACAAAAGAATGGCAGTTTATTTCCAGACCTCGGAATCGCGCGCATATGGATTTTTTTCGCTGTATGGGGGAACAGTTGTTAGTGAACTGGGCGCTGCATTGATCTTTTGTCATTAATTTATCCGAGAACTCCGGGAGAAAGGAAGATTCAGCCTCACCGCCTTCCAGAGACCTGGGAACTTTACAACCACTTTTAGATTCGCAATTTCGCAATAACATCATCCTTTTAGTGTGCTGACGGCGAAAATCATATTTTTCTGCCAGGAAATCAAATCAAAACTACAGACAGATTTTTAGAACTCAACAGGACATGAAGTTATGTGTAGCTTCGAAATTCAATAAGGCTAACCTGCGCTTAATTCTTTGGGTCTTGACACTTTCAGCTTTCGTGGCGTGAGTAAATTTTGATGACGAACCGCACTGACAACTGGTTCTTCTTCTCGTTCCTCTACCTTTGCTATCGTTTTGCAGTTGTTAGAGATAGTTCTGCGAACTGGTCCAAGATTCGCATCCAAGCATCCGTATGCTATTTTTAGTCTAGCAATATCCAGAACGCTCAACTGGTCTCGCTTGCCAATCTTCAATGATCCGTTGACTTTGGGCATGATGACCGCTCCATTAGGATCATTAGGATTAGCCGCAAAATCACTGGGTGCGTAATGCATTATGGACTCGTAATCGTATGGCAAATTAAATACCGGCATATCAGGCAGAATATTGAAATTCCGCAGATCAACGTTTCGTTCGATATTGCTCGGGGCAACGTTGACAGTGACATAGGTATCTCGATCCGGACGGCTATGTTCGTGGTAGAATCCCAGTGCATGGAAAATTTCATGTATTATTGTTCTTGGAGACAAACAATTTCCTCCCAGTATGACTTTTGTGATTCTTCTGGGTGTTCTCCCGACGTCAGCCGCGCATCTAAACCATCAACAGTTTCAAAAATGACGAAAGCTAACGTAAGCGAAAGAAAATCTGTAAGAAGCTGGCGTAATCGACGATGACTGCTAATCGATGCACTATACTGAGTTACTGACTATAGTGTTCAAAATAGTAAGTAGTTAGCGCCATATAGCCTCACTGGTTCATCACAATATGAATACTTACTTACCCTGGCTTATGCTGAATCGAAATAAATTCTTTTTCATGCTCTCGCTTTTTAAACCTCACGCAGCCATGCGTTGCATTTTCTATGGCCAACAACGCCGTTCTTATAAGATGTTGTGCTTCAGCGTCTATAAAGGTCAAGAGAGTAGAAAATTGATCTCCTGATTATTTACCCCGGTCCTGTCAGGAAGTGTCAACTTAAAATCAGAAAGTCAACTTACGGTACAAGCGTTTGGATCTACAATACTTTTACACGTCTGCATTCTGTGCAGCTATCATATATTCCCTTATTCAGGGGAAACCTTAATTTTATGCAGCAAACAAAGTGAATCAGCAGCAGCTGACTCTGCCGAAACCAATTTGACTTCCAACCAGAACTAATTTTGCCCGCCGATTACTGTCCATACCAAAATCGGGTGCGATCGCGTATGGAACGCAGTTGCCGCTTTGGTTCCAGTAGTTATTGTTAAACATTCGACCAGTGGCCGAACCTGGTGCCTGAAACCTGTTCGAAGAGGCGTCATCCGGTAGCCACAAAATATCTTTCCAGGACGGCATCACTGATGCAGCAGCGGATGATTCAGATTCCGGATCTTTTCCATCTTCCCAAGCTGTTAATAAAATCATGACGTTGTTGAAATTGTCTATAATACACCCGATTCAGAAAAGTCATTGCTGTTCTGTATAGTAAAAATAATTACTTAAAAAAAAGTAGTTAAAAACTTATGATTATTTGCAGAACACAGAAAATGTCGGCGATTTGTGTCCTAGTTATTTTCGCATGACTGTACATGTATGTAGGTTTCAGCCTTCAGGGTAATCTGAGGGGATATCAGTCGTACTATTTTAGTAACGCACCTACTGATACTGGAACACCATGGACCCAGCATGGGAATGCATTTTGCAGCAACAACAATCTGCAGTAAACAATCAGTTTTAGCAACATGTCGTCATATGGTGTATCATTTTGAGAAACATTTTAAGTATCTGCGAATGCAGTTACGAGTATTACGGCATCCACGTGAAGAGCCAAAATAACTAATAAATTTAGCATTTTGCTGCACAGTTTAATCCTGCAAAACATGGTTTTCGACGCTCGCATTTTCTACAGTATTGCAGCTTTGCGTTTTTGTTTGTGATGTAGAAATGGGCTACAACGTATTCGATGACCTAAAAATAACCAGCGGCCCGCGTGGTGATGCATGCAGGAAACGAGGGCGTAGTGTTGGGATACGATCTATTGAGAGCTGGTCCCATTCATTTATTCATTTTCGTATTTATACACAACTCCGATGACCCGCGTTCTGTCGTCATTTACGACAGAATCTCATATATACTCGTACAAAAGCATATATACTCGTACCCTTTCCCGCTCTTTGGGCCTTAAAAATTGTCTTATTAACTCATCGGTTATGAATCACGGCTAACCGTAAGCTACCTGATGCACGCTTTTGCATTTGGAATTTGCACTGTGCACCGCACCACGGTTGTGCCACCTCGTGCTTGATACCTAACTGGTAACGTCCAATAACGAAAAACAAAACATAAAGCTCTAGCTGTGACTGGGAGTGTCCTCAGTTTCGGTAAAATGGCTAAACGCGCTCAGTGCAGCTTGTCAACGGCCAGTTTCTGCTCCAATTTGTGAGTGGGCTACAACGTATTCGATGGTGCAGTATACTCAATAAAGCGATTTAATATTTGGAGTCGCTCGACTGCCCATCCTACAGGTATTCGAGGTTAATTTTTCGGCTTTCACAGTGGTGGTGCGGGTTAGCGAGGAATATATCTTCTCGTGATTTCGCCTGTGATTAATCGTAATTAAGCAGCGTAATGTCGATACAAAATTCGCGATAAGAACAATTACCGTATAACCTGATTTATAGAAATTTACCAATCTTTTGCTGCCTTACTGGACTTAGCAATATCTGAGTTTTGCGGCAAAGCGGCACGCACCGGCAAGCATGCAATTTCGCCGGTTAAAAAGGGAAGCGGCAGAGCAGCCAACACCTGCTAGTTTAATACAATTGTTTTATGCATGTATGTATTATTCAGTATTTATACTGCATTTACGGATTATTTTATGACGCCATAATGTTACTATTTTGCATTTTTTAGTCAATAGTTTTATGGTTAAAATTTACTGGACGTGTAATCTGAGTTGCACATGAATGTGGCATGATTATGCCAAGGAAGTGGACAAGGCGTATGACGCAATACACCAAATTAGCTAAGTACAGCATTATATTTGTACTACTATGTTTTTCACCTTCGTTTACAGTTTGTACAGTTTGTGTTTATTCTCATCATCAGTACTTACTTTTCACCTCCGCCTGAACAGTCAGAATGTTTACTGTGTGTAAGCCGAGTGGTGGACACGTACGTACCGGCGCCTACGGAAGTGGAACGTCTCAAAGCGAGACACAGACCGGCAACTGTGCAAAACCGGAATACTCTATAATCACTTTGTCAGATCGCCGGTATTGAATTAAGAGTTTTTAAGTAAACGAAAAGCTTAACCCGTCTTTATCAGGTTGCACTGTCAGTTAGTGGCGATATTTGCCAGGTGTTTTGGCAAATTTCCCTGAGGCACTTCACATTTCACAGCGTTATTTTTTCTTTCATAGCAATAATTATAAAAAAAGGTGCTCCTGTGGTATTTCATCGCTGGCTCATTCCCATCTGGTGCAGTGCCGAAAGATTGATTAATTGTTTTTTTCAAATCAAATATTATTGCGGTGTCAGATAAAATTAGATCATGTCTAGCGGAGGTTGTTGTGGAAATGGCGATCAAGTTCCGTCGCCGCTGCAGTCCATGTCGCTGCCACGGGAAAAAATTTTATACGTTTTGTGTCTCCAGCCGGAAAACAACGAGCACAATAAGCCGGGATATTTGGCAACAGTAGATGCTGATCCAGAATCCAAGAATTACGGAAAGGTATGTTGCTTTTCATTGTAATGCTTTCGTAATTTGTTGTCTCTCATCCTCATCCATTTTAGTACTTCGTTTGTACTTGTATTTCGATACTTATTAAAGGCATTTTTTTCCGTGTTGCTGTTACTCCTGTTCTCTGGAAAGTATTCCAGTAACCTGAGAATTAACTGATGTTTGGTACACCGTACACAGCGTACAGCACGTATTACTTGTCAATGGACCTGTTTGTACAAATATTTGTACAGCATTAAAGCTCAAAACATAGTTGGGAAACTTGGATTAAACAAAACGAACTGTCCTTTTATTATTTTTTGCGGTTGTCCTTTCGAGATCATCTGAATGATCACTATGCACTGCATTATGTTGCATAAAAGTGATATATTCACAACATAACTGCCATAGTAAATACTGGCAACCAAAAGTAACAATTTTCCTTCATTACTTTTTATTAAAATTAATTCATTGCCCTTGATACACTTTCAAAACAATGAAAATTTCTGAGTAATAAACGCATTATAAAGATTTTTGCTGACCTTGCCGATAGAAAAAGGTCTTGTGTATAAAATTTCTGGCATTATTTAAAAACGTGGGTATGCAATATTCTAAAGCCTAAAAATAACAAACAATGAAGAATTGCCAAAAAAATAGATGTGGAAAAAATAAATTTTTTTAGAAAAATTGAAAAGTAAAATTTTTTCCACAAATATTTTCGAAACCCTATGCCACTTAATGATTATAATTTGCACTTTATTCGTTTTTTGGCGGATCTTACAATTCGCACCCGTGATACTGTACATACAGATAAGTTGCACTATTCACGATATTATACGGCAGTTTTGCTGTCATACTATCAGGTGATCCATCGCCTGTACTCCTCGGATCCCCGCGATGAGCTGCACCATTTCGGATGGAACAGTTGCGTCAGTTGCCGGCATCCGTCCATTACGCGCCGCTTCCTCATCATCCCCGGTCTGCAGAGCGGCAACATCCACATTGTCGACGTGGCTACCGCCAACGCGCCGCGCTTACACAAAGTCATCGATGGTGCCCAGATTGCCCAGCGCTTTGACATTCAGTATCCGCACACCGTGCATTGTCTGCCGTCGGGAGAGATTATGATCTCCTACATGGGCGATCAGCAGGGCAAGGGCAAAGGTGCCTTTCTGCTGCTGGACGGCGAGACCTTCGAGCCGAAAGGGTTGTGGAATAAGAACAGCCATTATTTTTAATAATGCAGTTCGGAAAAGCGGCAATTCTTTTTATAGGTGGCCTTACTGTATTATGGCTCGTTACGGCATGGCCGGCTAATTCAGACTTGTCACCAGGAGCGGATGCCAATTTCTCGGTCCCAGCCGAGCGTTTCACCGTTTCAGCGGGTCACAGGTAACAATACATCCTCGGTATGGGAATTAAGAGCACCAAATATCGGCATTCTCAAGCTGCTACTGTAATTGACCTTTGTAATAAATTTCGAAAGATTGAAAGGTGGAACACATTTATACACTGGAATACATATACGCGGAATATGCAATGATTTTATCCAACGATTCTCTTGAGCATGTAAAAGTTTGCCGTTTTTTGTGCTAATTAAGCAGCATTAATTTCGTAGCATTTAATGGGGCGCTCATCGGTTTCCGTCATCACTGGACAAACAAACATCTATTGAAACGAAAATGATTAAGCATACAAAATTCACCTGCCCGTGCACGAATTACTAAAAACTACTCACGTCAAAAACTCAGTAAAACCCACAGCACGAACAATGCCCGCTACCAGGTGATCGCCGCATCAAAGCGTCGATCAAAACGAAACTATCAAACTGTGTACTAGTACTCAGTTTATATATAATAGTCTATACAATTATGGTTATGGTTAAACAAACGTGCGCCGCATTAGTAACCAAAACCGCACCGCGCTAAATCTAACAAAAACATCCGCGCCAAAAAAGCACTGAACGCCTTATGTTAAAACTTACCGATTCATTCCCTTTTTCAACGGAGACGGCGATCGTGATTTGCGGGTCACCGTTGAGCGAAGAAATCTGGCTCCTTTGAGGCTGGTGCCGCCAGTATTCGGTTCCTGACGCGGAGAGATTGTCAGATCAAGATCATGATGCAAATCTGCCGCGACAAAATTGTCTTCCCCAACGAATTGCAAACAAATCAGTAATGAGCATATCTGTGTTTGATACTTTGATATTGAAATATTCAATTGATATTGAGTTATGTTTACCGGCCACCAAACTTCGTGATTGTCAATCTTTCCTTTGTTGCGGTGGCTGCTGCACTGATGGCTTGCCAATTTTGCTTGATATCCTTCACTTTTTCGGCCCTGAACACTTTCCGCCAATCTCCACTTTTATGATCCGCGAGATAGTATTCACTGGTCAAAACGACAGTTAGCTCCATTCCAGTTGATCTCTAGTGTCTTGCTGTACAAAAAAAGGGTTGCAGTTAGCAGTACCGTACTTAAACGGACACAATCAAAATGACCACAGTTGCATGAGTTTTTCTCGGAATTGTCGCATAAGGTCACAACTGTATGAGGCGGTACTGTCTGGTTCTTGAGAGTATATCGTTTGGCGCAGTGTTATTTAATTGAATTATCCTCTTAAGGTACGTATTTTTATTGATTGGCGCGCGACAATCTTGTGACATAACGATTTTTGACTACGTCGGCTATGCACACCGTCTAGTGCTGTGCAATTACGTATTCCGAAGAATAAATAAACCTTGTGCTGATCACTTTTGTTTTCCAATCGCAAATGTATCACTGTACTTACTGCCGCCGAGGAGAAAGTCCTTTTACTACCTTTAAAATACTGTTAAATACTTCTAAAATTTATATGGCGTGGACATTTTGACTATGTGATTGTCGAACGCCAAAATTACTTACATAGTGCATCCGATTAAACCTGCATTCCTTTCAAAAACTTTTGTCTTGTATTTATGCTTATAACAAGTCAGAAAATCTCAATCTACCGATATTTTGTTAAAAATTAAATTTTACCTTGATTGGTTTAGTAGGCATCGCAAATAAGTATGTTCGAGAATATATCCGTAACGAACAGCCTGGTCGCAAGTTTTTGCGGTAAGAGAGGCATTTTGAGCAGACGTTTGTGCGTGATCCCTAAGACTGATGGGGTCTTCCTGCAGTGCAGTCATCTTTGGCGCACATTCAGGAAGATTCACGCATCCATAATGGTATACTGCAACGGAGCCAGCACATCTCCCACATCGGTAATTCACAGTCATTGATTTGTCAACCTGGTACAATACCGTACGTACAACGCTGTCACTAAACCCTGACATTCTTGCCTTTCATTCTTTTATTATAATGAAAATTCATAATGCAGACTTTGGCGACAGATCTCGGACGATGTGGCTAAAGAATTATACGAATCGTAGCTCATAGCGCAATCTGCCCAGCCTCAGACGTTGCTACTAGCTGGATAAGAAGGTTGACAAACAGGCCAATAATAATGTTGGCTGGAAACGTATGCTCCATAGTGGATTCCACGTAATATTATTTGTATGTTGAATGACTTTTGAATACGCTATGGCTAAAAATGTACAGTAAGTACTTATTGCAAAATAAACTTCACATGTTCGTACGTACGTACGTACGTAGATATTAACTCTTTACTCGTATGTACTACATACGCTATTAAACGTGCAGATTTCGGTCAGTCACATTATCTGGTCGTACTATGTATGTTCCTATTCCCGTTCCCGATAACATAATTATGAAATTCAGCGAGTGAACTAATCGGTGCGCATAAACATAATCGATATTATTATTTACTATTAGGTATCGTGAAGTACGCAGCATCGCGTTTCAACCGGTACTGAGCCCATACTGAGAGTTCCAGCGTTAACCGGTCACCATTCTGAGCTTGAGTTCTAACAAGATAATGAGGAATAATTTAGTCCCTGTATTCTGCGTGGGGTTTAGTAATAGGTGGGACTTCAAATGCGCACACACAGTCTACTTTATGCAAGTTAATATAGAATATCATGGGCGGAACATACCATTTGCAATGTACAGTACTATTTGCAGCTGACAGCTTACCGTGTAAACTGTTTACTGTATCTTCACTGGCGGCGCAGTTACCGAAAGCGGTGGCGTAACGTTCCGTAGGTTTTCCAGTGGCTAAAATTAATGATTTACCCCCTTACATGTACACTTCGAGTGTGTCTGTCAGGATGGGAAGTTGGATCAATCAATATTTGAGCTTATGAAAATCGCCTTGAAATTGAGCGTTGTGCATACTGTTTCTGTGCACATGGGATCGATCGCCTCTACACAAGTAGGCTTATGTTGCCAACATAGTCACGCACAGAGTAGGTGTATGCAGCGTCGTGGTCGTTGCGCATTCTACGTTTTATATGGAGAAGCACTTTTAATAAAAAGTCCCAGTTACGCTGCAGCCCAGAAATATGCAATTTAAATAATTCTTATAAGAGAATATTTTCTTGCGAAACAGTCCTTTGTAGTACAATCAACTGTATGCAGGAGCAGTAACAATTTCTCGCAGTGGACAAAGGCCTAATTACTTTACGAGGGTTGCATTCGCAAGATGGAAAATTTTTTGATACCACGCGTTTGCAGAGCTCCCCTTATTACTGGTGTCTATAACCAATTCGTTGTGGATATAATCGATGCTGATTCAACGTATCGTGGGTATGTATGTGGAGTTGACAACGATCAGTGCATGGTGCGAGTTGGTTCAATGCACAAACTGCAGCTGATACCCATAAAGAGGTTGTGCTTAGCTGGTCCCCAGGAGTGCAAACAGCTCGAAGACGTCGCGGAAATGATTGACGTCCTTATCAGTGCGGAGGAAAGCCAACCCGAGTCATGGCAACCAGCGCACATTATTACTGGCGTTGGCATTGCAGATTTTTCATTGGTAAATGTCGAAGTAACACTGCCGGGCGGTAGAGTTAAGCGCTACTGGATACTTGATATTACTAGTGCCGGTTTCAAGCGTATCCGCCCACGAGGACATCTAGGGCCCGTTGTGAGCTCTCATTCGTTTCGTCAGACGTTAATTCCTCTCTCTAAAATCATGCAATACTCTGTTGACGTCACCAATAAGCTGGAAATTATAAGGAATATGCCACGGTTTCACAGCTTTTTCTTGGAGAAGACGGATCATCGGATTATGTTTCTTGGTGTCAGAAACGATTGTATCGCTGTGTTGGTGGAAGAAGCTTACCACAGGAAAATGACGGATAAGGAAATCACCAAATGGTCAGCGTCAGCTATTAGTTCGTTTTTAGAGAAATTTCACCAAGCGACGGAGCATATTGCCGGCTGCGTTTTGCAAGAAATGCTCACAATTATTGTGGCCCAAATCGGTAATAACACTAACACCTTCAAGTTTCAACTTATGTTAATGCTACTTTTATAAGCAATAGATATGTGTGGAGGGAGTAAATTTATCCCATAACATAAAATCCAGATATCGTGTAATAGAAATTTTAACGATTGTGTAACAATGTAAGTACAGATTAGATTGTCGGGACCGACGGACCGCAACCGATGCAGTTCAGTCCATGCCTTTCCGAGAGAGCTGCACGAATGAGAAATGGCATTTAAAAGAATCGAAGTGAGCGTAATTGATAAAAATTAAAACCGAAATTAATGTTACTTCAATCAAGAGGTATACGGACCCAGCGCACCTTGGTAAATCAGACCGCCAGCACATTGATTTCGCGGGTTTGTGCGTATTCTAGCGGTCAGTTTTTGCTATAACGGCTCTACAAAACTTCCGCCGCTCAGAGCCAGTCAAAAAATCTCGAACCAAGACCCCGTATATTAATAAAGGTTTTCATTACTCCGGGGCGATTGAACGTTTGCACATCAGGGGTGAAAATTCTATAGTTACGGTATCTGTCTTTCCGGCGTTTTTCTCCTTCGTTAAACATGTTAGCGCAGCAACCCTGACTTCGGATAATTTTGAAAATCTCTCACAAGTTCATATCGTTTAGAACTGGATGCACCGTGTGACCTCCGACTTAATGATTTGCGCCCGGAAACTGTTTTGCTGATGTTCAGCTATTTGGATGTTTACGACCAACATCAGCTCCGCAGGTAGCACTCAGCGTACATGTCTGCAAGACGAAACATCTTACGGAACATCCGATCTGCAACAATATTTTGGTATTGCTTTTTCAGGGTAGGAAAATATTTTAATCACTTGTTGTCCTCGAAGACAATTCGGCAGTGTTTATTGCTGCCACGCCACCGTAGGCACGTCGTCGACGTCTTGAATAAATATACATCCCGTGGAGCGGATTCTAAAATGGCTTATATAATTGGGAATACTATAACTGCAGATGTGAGAATATTGTACTTAACGGGTAAATGGAAGGAACGTCTGAACACACTATCGTTGATTCTGAAAAAGTTGTGCGTGAAACTGGATTGGCTAATAATTGCCAACAATTCTACCCTGTTGTTCAATGAATTTCTGGAATTTCCGGAACCGTTTCCCATGATGTGCATGCACAACTTTGAAACTGTAACAGCCAACTACATGCCGGCCATTGCATACACGAATTATGCCCCGATCTGCAGGCATATAGTGTTAAAAAGCTGTTGCTTTAATAGTAAATCTTCGATATGCTTTACCACAATGCTGTTAGTTAACGAGGGCAATTCTACATGGTTTGCACCAAAAGGACGATCACGCCTCAGATGTTGCCGTGAACCATTTTGCATTAAAATTCCTTATTGGAGGTACAGTTTTAGTGAACCCGCCTCGTCCACGTTTGCAGAAGGTTTTCAGTTCGCGCTTGCGAAATTTTGTCCGGAACTCGAAGAAAGCACGATTAAAGCCTTGCTACACTGGCTGAAATCTGTGAAAGGGGCAAAAGTTCGTGAGCCAAAAGCAGGCATTTGGCCATTTATTCAGCTATCTTACACACTGTAAGGCTGCGGGGAATTTGTGAAACATTAGTTAAGAATTTATCAAATAATTATTCAAAGGCTGCTGTTAACTTACAGGTGGAATGAAGAAATGCCCATGTGCCTCAAAGACGTTCTGCGACATGTTTCCAAGAAATGTTCTGCAAAAAGCTTAATTTTACAAACGCTCGCTTTACTGATGCCATGCAAGACTGAAAGGCGTTGCAAAGATGAGACCGCGTCAAAAGACGATACTTCCGATAACCACACAACAGATGCTGAGACATGATCAACTGCTTCGGGGATCGAATGTAAACCGGCCTATGCTACAGTACATCTTCTGTGCAGATATAGTACTACTACTCTTGCCTTAAGTGAAAAGCAAAATGCACGACAGTGGCTAGAAAGTGGCTAGAATCTCTTGAGTTTTTCAAATTGTTTTCAAGTGTTTTGCCTCCACTATCCTATGTTAGTCTTACGGCTGTGTTTGAAATTGATAACGAAGTCTCGAACTCCTAGCCCGTACTGTCTGAGGAGGTTTTGAGCGTGCGCATGTAACCGGCAGGAAGGTGGAATGGGTTGATGATGGCCGGACGTTCAAAGAAATCGGATCTACTTTGCTGCAGCCTGCCGATAAATACGTGCATTTAAACTGTCCTTCTTCTCTCTAAAACAAATGAAAAAAAATAAAAGCCATATATTTCCAGCTGTATGCTATCGTCGGAACTCGGAAGAATGATTAATTTTACTCTCTGTCAGAGGCGTACGACTGCGCCTGGTGCGTACGGTCCACACTAAACGTACTTGCACCTATTGCTTGCCGTTATCGCCTCTCTCGCTGTACGTACGTGTGCTGCTGCACTGCACTCATCCGCTGAAGCGGATATACGCAGCGCATACACTGAGCCACACTTGCTCTCTCGTTCCTCTCTCGCGGTATGACTCAGCGTCCATACGCTCGCGTTGGATTGAGTCCAGTCTGCGCATCATCACACAGCTGACGGCACACAGCACGTGGTTGCCGCCAGTTGCTTCTTTCACGCCATGAGACGCTCAAGAACAATTTTTGGCATCAACTTGCTAGTTTAGCCATCGGTGCTTTGTTCTTGCTTTCCTGCTATTACGCAGCATTGTTTCCCCTTTATTTGTCAATAAAGTGCACTCGTGATCTCCTCGCGCTTGCCTGTTACATGGTGAGCAGATCGTCTGGTCTTCTTTCGACGGAACCTTTGAGGAGACGGTGAAGGCTCAAATTACGGAGAACTCGTGAGGAACGTGAAAATCCTTGTCAGATAGATTGCTGAAGCAATCCCTGCCTTGACTTTGATCGGATTGATCGCATCGTCTTACAGCTGAGGAACAACGGGGATCACTGAAGTGATTCTTGCCCAGCTGGTGAGCACAGTTTTCTTGGTCTCTTTCACATTGAAGAGCATCCCAACAGCACGGACATTTTCTTCTCCCAACTGACGGATCAGACTCGAACGAGAGTCTGCAGCGCAAACGGATTAATCCTATAATACGGGGACCTTCGCTTTGAACAGCGACCCGCAACTTTACTCGCGGATTTCAGCTCGGAAACAACGGATTTCCGACCTTGGACGGAGTAAATCGAGCGGAACCGACACCGACACCGACACTGGTAAAGTAACGGTTCTAGGTCGATCTTAGCCGGATGCCGGGATATCAAACTCCTACGGCACAGTACGGACCACTGAGTCCGGCCCCGACGCCACCGGCGCAACAAGCACCAGTCCAGCAACAGACGTGGGCAGGCGCGGTAGCAGCAAACCTGAATCCCCCGGCACCTGGAGTTGGAGCACCGTTAACAACTACGGCGGCCCAGGTTATAGCTCGGGCGGTAATGCAAGCACTGCATGTTCAACAATCATGACGAGTCGCGCTGAATTTATGAATCGGATAACAACCCGAACCTTCGGTGGTACGACGATTGGTACCGCCGATACTCGACGAATGGCCCGGTTGGCTCGATTAATCCCTTCTGGAAGGACATCGTGCCACCGCCGCGCCAACGCCAACAGGCTGGAGGCTCGGGTGGCCCCGGTAACGGAAGCCGGTCGCCCGGCCAGGGAAATGGCGGAAACCGCAACAATAGCGGCGGGAACCAACAAGGTTCCACGGCATACAGAGAACCGTTGCCGCCCCGCCAGTCGTTGAACTCGACGCCACCCAACAATGGGTCGGCTCGAAGTAACTCCCCGGGAAACGCCCAAGGTCGATGAGCTCCGGTGACTCATTCGACCTCCAACATCCAACCGAACCACCGGACAAGGATAACCCGACTAACCAGCCGCTTACCTACCGGAACCAACTGAATTTCCCTCCGACGATTGAGGAAGGCACTCAACAGATAGACGCCGTTCTCCAACTGCTCGGGCTGAACTACAATAGTTCAGTGGACGACTTCGCAAAAGCGATGTCGACCTCCACAAAGGAGGTAGAGACAGCTCGGAAGTTAGCTGCTCAGCTCGGCGTGTATGTCAACAACGGTAACGTCGAAGCTTGGCCCGGGATACAACAAGTACTCGAGGCAACCGACCCAGCGCATTAACTTGGCGCCGGAACGTCGGAGGTCGGAACGCAGGAATTGCCCGACCTAAGCAGCGCAAACAATGCGACTGCGCCGTCCGTCACACAAAGCGACGTAGCACGGCCCGGCCACGGAAGTTGGACCGGATTGCCGGTGAGGATAAACTCAACCGAGCAGCCCAGACGAGGCCCAAGACGTGGAGGACCGGGACGCCGATCCACGCACCGGGGCAACAGAAGCTTCCCCAATGTATCATCCGGACGCGCATCGGATAGATACGCTGCAACAAGGGCAGCCGTCGACCTTACCGAAGAACCGGAAGGAATCGAACAATGGGAAACAGTCCCATTGGAAGCACAGGTACCTGTTTACTCTCGGCCGGGAGAAGCGGACCTCTTCCAACCAAAAGAGCAACCAGCTAGAACGATAGCTAGCCCTCGAACATTCCTGAACCTCGACTACATGTGGTCAAAATTGAGACCAACGGACGTCTCAATGGAGGAAAGGATACTGGCTCAGGCACAACGGTTCGGAACCGCCAAACTACCGAAGGACGGAGTAGCTAACCGACCTGAAGTACAGGAAGCGGGTGAAGTCGGAGTCGAACTTACACATGGTTCAACTCAACAGTCAGCCGACCACGGACCGGTGTCATTAATTCCCATCAAACCAACGATACGGGAAGTAACCTTCGAGAAGGGAACCCATAAGAAACCGAAGACAGTTCGAGCTTGGACACACGAAATCCAAGTCGGATCCACGCCCACACTGGCGATGTTAGATACCGGAGCGGAGACTTCGCTCATCGAACAACGGTTTTGCGAGAGAAACGGTCTAACCATGCAACCCCTCGGACATTACACCAAAACACTAGGTGTAGGCGGACAAGTCGCCTTCATGGTGTCCCACTGCTGTACCGCACCTGTAACAATGCAGGGCTTTACGAGCCACCATACATTCCACGTCCAGCCGACCGAAGCGGACATTCCAGTACTGCTCGGATGCGACTACCTGCATTCGAAGTTCACTTTCGTCTTAACACCGATCCCTACTCCGGAATAACCGGTAGGAACGACGGTAGTGCAGTCTATCCCGATGCCAGAGGCATCGGGCAAGTTACCAAGTGAAGCAAGGATAAGTCGGATTGATCACCCGGCGGACCCTTCGCGGATTTGCCGTGACTGCTGGAATAACAACCGGACTCTGCTCGAGGAACTTAAGCTGCACAACGCCATCGAAGCGTACGAAGGGCGGAAAAGCACCGGCACATTAAGACCGGCCAGGACTGTACTGAAGTCTATCCCGATACCAGAGGCATCCGCTGAAGCGGATGCTCTGAACCTAGAAGAGGTACAACAAAGGTACCGAACTTGGTTCTCGGGATCTCGTTACTTTCTCGACCAACGGACGTTGGAGATGGTGACCACTCTGCGACAGAACGGAGCGGTAACTTATGAGCAAATACGGGACGCACAACAAACGTGTGAACCTGTAATCGCCCTCACGGACGACATAGAGGACGAAGCATGGGAATGGGAAGACGACCGAATTCCGATCCATCGACAGTATATGGAATACGGACTTCCTGTCCCACGGCCCTTGGAAATGCCTTGCCAGGAACTAGGCTTCCAACTCTTTGCCTACATGCAGCGAGTTCAGTTGCACGGAGAATCGGCAACGACTGCATTCTGGCAACGGTACGGCGAGGATACCGCTATAACGCGACATGTTCCCGACCCGTTACCGCCAATCGAGGAGCATACTCCGACCACAGTGCAATTCGTGAGTAGCCCGGCGATACCTCAGGACGACGTAATCCTGGAGAAAACCGATAAACCCTACCGGTGTACCATCTGCCAAGACAACATTGACGGAGTGGTACGGACCATAAAGGATAATCACGACCTAACTTGGTCGGACGACAGACCGTCGTCACCGTCACCTCCGCAACAGGAACGGAAGGTAGACCGCTTTCGGAAGTCCCAACAGACGAGCATCCGATGGCTGAGCGACATAGGCTCACAGCCAACCGACCTCGAGAATCAGGACGGAGCAAGTCGACCTACCCAACTGACGGACATGCCGGACCAAGATGAATCGACCACACAGGTCGAAGTCGGTAACATACCGCAAGCCGAACAGGAAAACGGAACAACCGTCGAAAACGAGGATTATCAGTCGGACGACTCGCATATACAGAATACGAGTGATTCGGCGGACACCGACTCCGATAACCGACCTTCGGAAGAATCCGAGGAAGAAGATGACGACGAAGAATTCGACCCGTCAGTCCGACACTGTAAGACGGACAAACCGAGCATAAACGACTCGGATGATTCGTCATCGGAGGACGAAGAACCGACCTACGATGTCCGACTAACCACAGCATTGCGGTCTATAGTTCACACAGAATTTATAGACGAGCAACCGGAACAAACCGAACAGAAGAAATTGGTCGACTCCGAACAACAGGAGGAACTCGACCAACTTAAGGCTTTGTGGGAATTCGGAGGAGGTAAACCGGAGGAAGACGATCTCCGACCTCCAACCATAGTTGTCCAGCAGCTGTCAACGGAACAACCCACCTTGGCCAACTTGACCGACCAACAGAAGTCGGAGCATTTCAACACGTGGAAGGCACGAGTAGCCAAAGTCAACACGATTGACGAGTTGGACCTGGACAACAAATGCCTAGAAGTTCATCACTTAAAGCTGGATCCTTACATAGAGACGAAAGCGTTAGACCGACAAGTCGTCTTTAACAGAGAACGAGTCTCTCTCCCACCATGGTCAACATGCTCGATCAAGGTACGGACGACCAAACCAATGGATCCGAGAAGACGAATTTACTTCTCTACCCTACAGCGGGTAGTCCGACCTATCCGGCCAATTGAAGCCAAGATCGACATCCGACCTCAGGTCGACACGGCCTGAATAAATATCCAGAATACGACTCACCAAACGAAGGTGTTGAAGAAAGGCGTACGACTTGGCCACATGCAATATGCCGATGTCTATGAACCGGAAATCAATAACGAATTTGTTGAATGAGAACTCCCACACAAAGTGGCGAAGACATGGACCCCGACTCGGGAAGTAAAGCCAAAACCCCAATTCGAAGTT